CTCATATGTTAATATCCTATGTGTTTTTTTTTTTTTTTTAAATATTGGGTAGGTTCGGCTGATCATTGTATCTTTCTAGTTTTTATTTGTCATTTTAAATCACTCACTCTCTCTCTCTCTCTCTCTTTCTCTCCCCATTATGACATTGACTACCGCATAAGTGCATAACCCCTTTCTTTCTCTCTCTAATGACATTGGGCTCCACCGGGTCCCACACAATCCTCTCTCTCTAACACTAGGCCCCATCAAGTTCCACACAATCCCTCTCTTTAACACCTGGCCCCATCAGGTCCCACACAACCCCTATCTCTTCAACATCAGGCCTCATAAGTCCCACACAACTCCCTTTTCTCTCTCCCCTAACACCAAGCCCCACCAAGTCCCACACGACCCCTTTCTTTCTCTCTTGGCACTAGGCTCCAACGATTCATTGTGTCCCACATACCCTCCATGGCTCGCTTCCTCTTTATCTCTTTCTATCCCCTCTCCATTTTGATCCATGTGTAATATAAATTAATTAATTGATCCAAGTAAACTTGATTAAATTAAATATATTTTAACAAAGATAAAAAATAGAAAATAATGAAAAGATATCAAAGTCAAGCTACTAGTAATATTAGAAAGAATATTAAAAAATATAAATTAAATAATTGATTTAAGTCCACTTTGATTAAATTAAAAATATTTTAACAATGACAAAAATAGAAAAATAAAAAAATCACATCTTCTATTGTTCACATTAAACAATAATAAAAACCATAAAAAATATTTTAAGGATGTTAGTATAATATTAAAAATAAAGGAAATAATAAAAAAGTATAAGAACAAAATAATAAAGTTGTAAAATTAATAGAATCACATCTTCCTCTTTGCTGAAATGACTTGTGTTGAAGATTTTTTTTGGCTATGACCTGTGCTGAAGTTTTTTTAACCACCACTTATGATAAAGTTAAGTGAAATTAATTAATATAATTAACTTGTTGTAATTTAAGGTTTAAATTATATTGACATAATTGATAAAAGAGAAAAAAAGACTTAAATCATAACACAAAAATTAAAGCAATCATAGTAAAAAATAAAAAACAAATTCCACGCATATAAATGAAATAAAATTATAAAATATGTACACAAAAAATAGAGCAAAAACCCATTGGTTGATGGGTTTTTACACCTCGCATGGTTAAAGACCTATTTAAATTAAAAAGCAAAAAATCATTGGTCGACGGGATTAGTTGATGGGTTTTTACACAAAAATTAAAGCAAAAACCATTGGTTGATGGGATTAGTTAATAGGCTTTTACACCTCACATGGTTAAAGACCTGTCACCCAATGGTTAAAGACCTGTCTAAATTAAAGCAAAAAACCATTAGTCAATGGGATTAGTTGATGGGTTTTTACCCCTCATATGGTTAAAGACATGTCGCCCAATGGCCAAGTATATCAATATAAACGCATAACAATCGGCCCTACAAGTCTACAACCTTTTACTAGGTTATATGTATAGATTCATTGATCATTTGGTTATACTCTTCATGGTCAGTATTTAAGTCATTCGTAAAGGGGAATTGCCAACCCATATTCACTCCTAGAAATATAATCGATTTGCCTTTTTTTAGGGGTGTTCACAGTTCAGTTAATCGAACCTTGGGGTATGTTTTATAACCAAATTGATAGTATCGGTTTTTGGAAAACCAGTAACTGAAATTTATTGGTTAATCATCGGTTTGGTTGATCGATTTTTCAGTTTTTGAATTTTTACAATATATATTATAAATATATAATAAAAAATTATAAATATATATAAAATACTATATTTTAAATAATAAATAATATATCATATATTATAAATATATATATATATAATGCACATTTAATAATTTATAATATATAAAAAAATAAATACAAAATATACATAATATACATAAATATATATAAAAATATATGTATACCGGTCGGTTTGGTCAACCGCTGGTTTTTTATATTGATTAACCGAAACTGAACCGATACCTTCAGTTTTTTAAAAACACTGAATTGAAAACCGAACCAACCAATTCAGTTAACCTATTTTTCGATTCAGTTTGAATCAATTTTTTTGGTCAATTCGATTTTTCGGTTTTTTTTTCTCACCCCTACCATTTTCTAATATCCATCATATTCCTTTTTTTAGGGCATCCTATTCTTTACTTTACGTAATAATAGCGCTTTTACAGGACCTGAGTACTCGCACAACAAATGTTCTTTCCTTCTGTAATCCCTTTATATCCATCCTATATTCCTATCGTAACAAACCCAATAGCTCTCTCCACCATTCAATAAACTTCCTTTCTTATTTGTGTGCATAATGCAAACACAAAAATATCCAGTTCACAAAAGTACAGATTGGGGTTGGGTTTTTATGTACAAATGTGCCAATCTCGTTTTGGTAGGCAGACTGGCAGAGTGCAGTGGCTGAAAACATCTCCAAGTCGGCTTTAGTTATAATCTATCATTGTTGTATTATGTTTTAGATCTGATTCTTTTTTTTTTTTTTCAAATACGTTTTTCGTATCTGCTCATAAATCAAAATAGATCCATAGCAAATTAGAGCATGGCAGATCCGTTCACACATGAGATGTTGAATTGGTGAATGCTATGGAGTGCAAATTTATTGCTAGAAAACGTCGATGAATGCTATGGAGGGAGGAAGTGAAAGTGCATTAGTCAAAAAGTAGACACAAATGGAAGGGTAAGGGTGTCAATGAACCGGTTTTGGGTTGGACTTCAAACAAATCAAAATCCATTTGGACGGATTGAACGGACCAATATGACATATTGGATTGGACCTGGTCCGTCCATAATGAATTTATACCGGATTGAGCCAATATCTAGTCCATTGATAGAAGATAAGAATATGGGTGCCAATGGACCAGGTTTGAGTTGAAACCAATCTAAATTGACGTGAATTTGAACAGATTGAACAGTCTCTGGACCAGTCCGAAATGATCCAAAATATTCATTAGACTGGATTGAACCAGGTCTATTTGTAATAGACTCACACTAGACTAAACCGGATTGGACCAAATGCAGTCCAATTGACACCCCTATGGAAGGGTGTGGGAAGGAAACCAATTAATGGTGGAAGAGAGTAGTGTAGCCATCAGGCCCACCAAAACTTTGTTATGAAGCAAATCCCTTGAACTTGAACTTTTCCATTCTAGCACCTTGCCCTTACCATTAGCATTCCATCAATCAACTTCGGAAATATCCCTTTAGGCTGAGTTTGGAAGGAGTATAAATGCAAATATGTAGAGTGCAAGACCTTATATTTTGTATGTATTTATATTTACATATTTTTTGGTTCATGAATGTAAATACAGTTCACATTTTAAACCGTTTTTACATTCATCTTATTTGTTTGAAATCGGTGCAAAGTGTGGATCCAACATTAAATACTTCAACTATCTTATGTTACAATGCCTTAACTTTGGTCAAGAAGTTAGTTATCAAAAGAATACAAAATTTTATCCAAAAAACAAGTACAGTAATGCTCTCTTCTCAGAGTACAAAATTAAGTGTCATAAAATACATTTTTGCTCTAATAATCATTACCTTTTTACGTATCAAACAAACGTGAACCGAGGTACATTCTAAAACCCAAAACTACCATTATATTATTTTATGAGGTGATTTTACTGATTCTTTTTAATCATAATTCTCACATGTTTCTCTCACCATTCTTTCTAACAAAACTCATCCTAAGAATGCCTTGAGAAAGATTCATGCTTTAGAATGTTTATTTTCATCATCCTCATACTTGGGTATTGTTTGTTCGTAAAATATTGAATGTGCAATTTACTAATGTTACTTTTACTATAGTACCCGTCAATTGTATCAAGGGACAAAGTGATGAAATCTAAAACATTGATTAAATGTTTGTCAAATCCAGATTTAATCATCACTAGACCTCTTCATGGATCAAACCAGGCCGGGGTTGATTCTTCACTAACAAAAAATGTTCAGGCCTGAGTCTGAACCCTCTCCAATTATCAGATCTTAAGCCTAAGCCCGAGCCTGATCCTTATATAAAGCCTGAAGCCTAGTATGCACATAAAATGCCCTATTTATGGTATAATTTAATAAATTAACATTGTATTAAATTGGTAATAATTTAATTCATTAATAAACCAATTCATATTTTCAGAATAATAAATTAGCATTTGATAATAATTTAATAAATTGATATATATTGTACATATTTATTATGTATAATTAACGTATGCTTTTATTATATATAATAGTATTGGGTTGGATTCGGGCTTAGTTGAACTTATTTGAAAAAGCCCAAGCCTGACCTAAAAAATAATTGAACCTGCTATTTAAAATGCAAGCCTAAGCCATTAAAATGCAAGCCTAAACCATAGGCCTGAAATTTTGTCTAAATTCAAAAAATAAACTAGCCCATGAGCAGTTATAGTCCTGGTAGAGCGCAACCTTACTTACAGCAGGAACATTTCAATACTTGGGAAGATGTTTTCAATGCACGTTTGCAAATGGTGTGAATTTACAAATAAAACTAAGTTCAAGGGGGCAAAGTGCTACTATCCTCTAAATACGGGTTGCCTATATGTAATTTGTCTTTTATTGACGGGTGGTAAAATAAGCAGCAGGATTCCAACCGGAAGACCCGATCCCGATGGATTCTCCCCTGGATCGTGTCATCTAAAATCTGAAACCAACAATCAAGAGCCATTCTTGATCTTGGACGGTGCGCATTATTCCTATCTCAACAGATACGGTGCACGTAATCGTGATCATCACCCATGTTTTAAAAATCAGACGATTGTTATTTCTGTAGTATTGGAGTTCGGATCAGCTATTAATACACGCTCCCAACAAAACTCCAATCAACCATTGCACCGTACATTGAGAACATCTCCCGATTAATGATACCTTCACACATCTTCTGCGTGGTATTATGCAGGAGAGATGTTTCCGATTCACGGGGTAATGTGTATTGTGGGTAGGCGTGGGCAGGAGATCCGTAGTCCCACTGCATCCGGTGTAACTTGTAAGTTTACAAATAGACCTCTTTCTCGCGGGTATCGTCAATCTAGAACCTCTCGAGACTACTCTCCCACCGGAAACCTAGACAGAGGAAGAAGAGGCAGCGAGCGTGCGAAACCCGAACATCAAAACCGGCAAAATTCTCTGCCTCCAATGTTGGAGCTTTCCCGCCAAATTCATCGAAACTCAGAACAGACCGTACGGAAGTCATGACCGCTCCTCGGACATCCTCCTCCTCCTCCTTCTCGTCGTCACTGAATCGTTCCCTTGTAATTGCCATATTTTCGGTCATCCTCCTCTACTTTCGACATTCGCTTCAACCTTACATTGATCGAACGGTGAGCTCCCAGGCAACAGAGGAAACCCTAACCCTCATCCAAGCGAAAGCAAGATCCGGCGAGAGCGTCAGAATCAAAGAAGAAGCTGCAAGATCCGACGAGAACGTTCGAGTCGAAGAAGAAACTCCTAGGAGGAATTACATTGTGAGGTTTCTTGAATACAAAAGAGCTGAAGAGCATAGGAATTACCTCGAAGAGAATATCCAATTGAGAGGGTGGAGATGGATCGAGAGAAGGAATCCGGCTGCCGCGTTCCCGACCGATTTCGGCCTCGTGTCTATCGAGGACTCTGTTCGAGAAGCTGTGGTCAAGGAATTTGGGAAATTGAGTCTCGTGAAGGATGTTTCGGTTGATTTTAGCTATACTCGGAGCTTGTCTGCGAAGAAGTTGGACGGAACTGGAGCTTTTGTGGATGGGAAGAAGCGTCCGGGAAAGATATTTACTTGTATGTCATTCGGCGAGGGAGAAAATTATACGGCTCTCAGTAATTCTGCAATAAGCTGGAAGCGCAATCTCATGATGCAGGTTAAGTTCTTAGATGGGTGAATATTACCAGTATCAATATGATTTTTCTCTATCATTATCTCCGCCTCTTTATTCTGGCGATCTTTTGGAAAATTAAATTGGAATGGAGGTTTTATGTTGCATTCTTACATGGTTCATGACTTTGTCGCAGAGATCCCAGGTTACATCATTGTTTGGAGCAGAGACACTCTGGACAAAAGGTTATACGGGTGCTAAAGTCAAAATGGCGATATTTGATACTGGGATTCGAGCAAACCACCCACATTTTCGTAACATAAAGGTGTGCCTATTCTTTTGACATTTTACCACTGTGACTTATTGTGCTGTCTGTTATCCTGGTTATTCCTGTTATACTTTTTAAACATTCTTTTGCTGGACTTATGAAACCATTTCTTGTTGGGCTATCATGTTTCCAATCATGTCCTTGCTTTGGCATTGTAACTTAGTTCTATTATACTTTCGAAATGAACCTGCAGTTAAAATTCATTGTAATTGGGACTTTGGGAGCATGTTTACAGGAAAGAACCAACTGGACAAATGAAGATACTCTTAACGACAACCTTGGACATGGGACATTTGTTGCGGGAGTTATTGCTGGTGAAGATGCAGAATGCCTAGGATTTGCACCTGACACAGAGATTTATGCTTTCCGTGTGTTTACTGATGCCCAGGTAACGCACATTGTTCTTTCAGAAATAATTTGAATAATCTTAATGAGTTGGTGCTTTCTCCTTTATTATTCATGGAGGGATATCTATTTGAATCTCATCAAACTTTCATCCTAGGTTAGAGTCTCACTAGCAACAACTCACATTGATTTTGCACCATGAGGAGTATGGCTACTTAAGCTGCTTATCAAAATATAAAGACGTGTTGCCATTGGCATTGGAGAGTTATTCTTGAACTCAATCTCTTATTAAATAGTGAAGAGCCTTTATGGCTCTTTTTTAAAGTAACATTAACTTAAGAAAGAACTTAATGGAGAAAAAAACAAAAAGGAAAATCCCAACTTCCTTAGCACTATAACTGGGACCATTATGAACACCAGGTGCTGGTAAACTAAGGAGCTGCTGCTGGGCTGAGTTGGGTAATGCCGAAATCAGTTAAGGAGTTGCTGTGCTGCTGGAATGTTCAAGGTCTGACCGTCTCAAGAAGAAAGGAAAGATTGTGTGGAAAGCTATTCCTGCTGCTGTCCTTTGGTCCATCTGGGCTGAAAGAAACAATAGGATTTTCTGTAGCAAAGTGAAGAACTCAGAGGGTGTTATTCACTTTGCTGTTTGCAAACTAATTTCTTGGGTCTCTGTGAATGCTGGGTTCAAGAATCTGAATGTATCTAAGTTGTTAAGAACACACTCCATTTGGAGTCCGTAATCTGTAATCTGATCAGCTTTCCCGGCCAAGCCTAGTGTGGCTTGGGAGCTGATGTAATATTTGTGTGATGTTTTTAATAAAGCTTTACCTTTCAATATATATATATATATATATATTAACAGTGCTGATCTACTAAACTGCAGTAACTTAGTGATTTAACTATATCACACAAGTAGGCGCAGTGGTCAGCTTTTAATGCCTGACCGTGGCCTTCATTTAGCAAAGCAGGCCACAACCATTCTATTTCCCTTTACTGGGGATTCTTGAGAAACTATTATTTCCCAAGCTAATGCTGATATTTTGTCATTAGTTCCATTGAACCAGGGTTAGGCAGATAATTGGTTGGGTAGTAGGACATATGAGATTTGCTGCATTTCTTACCTAAACAACTGTAGATGATTTGCTTATGGTGACTGTGTTGTATTCATTTTTGTATAGATGTTGTTTGTATACCAGATCTTCTTTTATTATTTTGAGTTTTAGATATTATAGTCTTTTGTCAAGATTATGAGAAGTTCTTGTTCAGTTTATTGCAGGTATCTTACACGTCATGGTTCCTTGATGCGTTCAACTATGCTATTGCAACCAATATGGATGTACTGAATTTGAGTATAGGTGGGCCTGATTATTTGGATCTTCCATTTGTTGAAAAGGTAATTCCCTCCAGCTGATGTATCTTAAATGTCAATGGATGTATGTGTGAATAAGTTAACATTCATTATAACTAGATATAACACGTATATACTAAAAGAATTGGTACTATGCTCCGCCCTTTTGAGAAAAAAAGAAAACATTATTAAAAAACATGAAAGAAAAAATCTCAAATGTTAAATGTGGCTTGGAAAATAGTCATTATTTACCCTGAAATCTGAACTGATGACATTAAACACTTGCATGTATTTTAAGTTGTTTTCCAGGTCTGGGAACTGACAGCAAATAATATTATTATGGTTTCGGCTATTGGCAACGATGGACCACTGTATGGGACCCTAAACAACCCAGCAGATCAAAGTGATGTTATTGGTGTTGGTGGCATTGATTATAATGATCATATAGCTTCATTTTCCTCACGTGGCATGAGTACTTGGGAGATTCCTCATGGGTAAGGAATCTTCTTTTTCTTTTACGTGTTTCCTTTTCCCTTCTCTCACAATTATCTTAGTTAGATTTATTACTACTTTTCAATGGTTTTGGTTGGTAAATGTTTAGATTCTTGGACTATGAGCATATTCCTTTTTATTTAAACTGCATTCAATCAATAATTTCCAGTATGTCTTGCTCTCTCTGTAACAGCATTTCTTGTTCTCTTGAATCATAAGATAAATATTCATTGAAGATCAAAATCATCCATATTTTTCTCTGTATTTCAATTGAAGTCTATATTTTTCAGCCATTGCATCTTCTCATTGTCCATGTCTACCAATCCAAGAACCCATACACATCCTTTATCCTGCAAGAATATTGGCCTCTTTTTTGGAAAAACTTGCTTAAGCAATAGTATATGAAACATGTACAATGAAGGTAAAGGTATAATTACCAAAAAAAGGCAATAAAGGTGTAAGTTTGTATGTAATGTTTCCATGTTTTAGAGACCATTGGAGTCTTCCCTTCTTCAACATCCATTATTTAAGTGAATCTTTCCAAATTTCTTTTGGATGATTAACTCCTAATCTGAATCTGATTTTTGTTATTTAATGCCATTACACCTTACATGATTTATTGGTGTTGTTACTCATCTGTCTATTTCTTTTCTTGGTATTCCCTGCATCAATGCTTCCCTTTTTTTCCGGCTCTGACAGACGGTTTTAACCATGTTTAACTTTTGGTAACAGATATGGTCGCGTGAAACCAGACATTGTTGCATATGGCCGGGATATCATGGGATCCAAGATAAGCACAGGTTGTAAAAGCCTTTCAGGCACCAGTGTGGCAAGTCCAGTGGTTGCTGGTGTGGTCTGCCTGCTTGTTAGTGTCATCCCCGAGAGCAGCCGAAAAGACATTCTAAATCCAGCAAGCATGAAACAAGCACTGGTGGAGGGTGCAGCAAAGCTTTCTGGTCCAAATATGTATGAGCAAGGTGCAGGTAGAGTTGACCTGTGAGTTTTCTAACTTATGAAGACATCTCCTTTCATTGTTCATTTTCTTTCTTGAAAATGAAGTCCTTAACTGATTCTCTTAATATTTGTCAGCTTGGAGTCGTATGAAATCCTGATAAACTATCAACCTCGGGCAAGCATCTTCCCTAGTGTTCTTGACTATACAGACTGTCCTTACTCCTGGCCCTTTTGCCGCCAGCCACTCTATGCAGGTGCCATGCCTGTAATCTTCAATGCCACCATTTTGAATGGAATGGGTGTAATTGGCTATGTAGAAGCCCCGCCCTCATGGCATCCTTCAGATGAAGTGGGCAATCTGCTAAATATTCACTTTACCTACTCAGAAGTCATCTGGCCTTGGACCGGTTATCTGGCACTCCACATGCAAATCAGGGAAGAAGGTGCTCAGTTTTCAGGAATAATTGAAGGCAATGTTACTGTTACTGTATACAGTCCACCACCTCACGGAGAAAAAAACCCAAGGCGAACTACTTGTGTGCTTCAGTTGAAGCTAAAAGTGGTCCCAACTCCTCCAAGATCAAATAGGATTCTATGGGATCAGTTTCACAGCATCAAATACCCACCTGGTTATATCCCAAGAGATTCTTTGGATGTTCGTAATGACATTCTTGACTGGCATGGAGACCACCTGCACACAAACTTCCACATTATGTTCAACATGCTGAGAGATGCTGGGTATTACGTGGAGACACTTGGCTCGCCCCTCACATGCTTTGATGCCCAGCAGTATGGGACACTTATGATGGTGGACCTTGAGGATGAATACTTTGAAGAAGAAGTGGAGAAGCTGAGGGATGATGTTATCAATAATGGTTTAGGACTGGCTGTGTTTGCTGAGTGGTACAATGTTGACACAATGGTGAAAATGAGATTTTTTGATGATAACACACGAAGCTGGTGGACTCCAGTTACTGGGGGTGCAAATATCCCAGCATTGAATGATCTTTTGGAACCATTTGGCATTGCTTTTGGAGATAAGATTCTGAATGGTGACTTTTCTATCAATGGCGAGCAGAGCCGCTATGCATCTGGAACAGATATAGTGAAATTTCCTGCAGGTGGTTACGTTCACAGTTTCCCCTTCTTGGATAGTTCAGAGAGTGGTGCCACTCAGAACATATTACAGGCTTCTGGCATGACAAAGGTGAATAGATATATTTTGTTCGGTTAATCTTCTTATTAATTTTAAATTCTAAAAGATTATTCTCTCTGATGAATGAAATGGCCCTTTAAGAGCAAAAACTGAATATCACCACTTAAGTAAAGCAGTTGGAAGATTTTGATGATGCACTAAAATTTCGCTCTGAAACATTTGCCATCAAGTTAATGGTTCTATCTGCCCAACAGCATATGGTAAATTTGTTTGTTTTCCCTAGTTGGGTTTCAAGCCCTGTTTGTTTTTTGGAAAGCTATTTACCTGGGTAAGTGTTATCTGGGAAATACTTACCCAGGTAAGTGAACTTACCTGTGTTCGTTTGTTTCTCAGGTAAATTATACAATGACTCTTTTATCCATACAAACTCACTGTTAGAATGGGCAAAGTTTTCCCGACATGTTTTGTCAACCTTTCCCCCAGGTGGGAAAGTTATTTACCCACCTGGGAGATGGGTATACCTATTTTTCCATGTGCCCTACATGAACGTGAAAACAAACATGGGAAAAGCGGTCAATGGGAACCACAACCCCATTGCCCGACTTTCCTCCCCTTCAGAATCCAAAAAACGAAAGGGGCCTCAATCCTATGACATCTCTACTATGTATCTACTGATGTATACATGTTATTAGGACCAATGGTGGCTTGAATTCTAAATTTCCAATTTGTAATTTGAGAACCCCTGTAATGCATCTGGAGTTGTTTCTGCATCTCTATCAAGCAAAAAAAAAGTGGCATCTGCATTTCTTTTCCAATATTTTTCTTGGGTTATACAAGACAAATCTCTAATATCTATCAGTAAATGCAGGCAGATTCCTCCATTTTGGGACTTGTGGACATGGGCAGGGGTCGTATTGCAGTTTATGGTGATTCTAACTGTCTGGACAGTAGTCACATGGTGACCAACTGCTATTGGCTCCTGAGAAAAATATTGGATTTCACTAGCATGAATATCAAAGATCCTGTGCTTTTCTCAGATTTAGCCAGAAAGGGTGTTCCACTGTATGAGGATGATAAGCAATTACCATCTCGCAGAACTGATGTCAACTTCTCTACTTATTCTGCTGTTAAAGGCAAAGAATTAATCTGCAGGAGTGACTCCAGATTTGAAGTATGGGGAACAAAGGGCTATGGTTTACAGGTAAGTGGGAGGAACAGAAGATTGCCTGGATATCCTACCATGAATTTAGGGGGAGGTTTGAATTCAACCATGAGCTTCACTTCAGACCAGACCAAATTGCATGGGAAGAAGGATGAACACTCTTCTGCCAGCACTGTTGGAAACCTATATGGCAAAGGGATAGATTTCTTGGGTTTGCTCAGCAGAGAGGAGGTATGGAGTTCGAAATGTGGTCACAAGCATATTTTTTTTTTTTACTGTTGTCAACAATTTCTATAGGTTATTTAGCCTGCCTTGGGTTCATGCAATGCTACATGTGGCTGAAATTTTATCCTTTTGTCTGGTATGTGTTGCAGCCTGACACTCCACTGATAGCTGCAAGTCAATGGATGGTACCAGCTATTGTCGCTATTTCTGGTGAGTAGACTACTAAAACGCCTACAAATTTCTGGAATCTTATGCTTGATGTACTAATTTCAGGCCAACTGTTTTTTAGGTCTCCTGTTGCTTCTGAGCTTTTGGCGAATTCGCCAAAAGCGAAGGCGAAGGAGGAAAGGATCAAGCTCCGTCTCTGGACGTTCCATTAATGTTTAATTCCAATCTTATTGTGGGATAGAATGGTTAGATGGTATTGGCTAGTTCTTTCACCATTCAACCTAGAGGTTTCTGCGGCAGCTCTGCCCAAGAAATTGATTTTGTACTGCTATAGCCCTGTAGCTCATCTTTTTGAGTTGTGATGCAATGGCATAGATTTTTCTCGAAGTAACGAAGTCATCAATCCTGATCCCACCTGCAACAGAAAAGTGAACTGCCAATCAGAAGCTAACAAAAAAGAACTTTTCACCAAATTCCTGGAGGACGCCAACGCCATTATTTCTGCTGCCTTGCAATTCTAAAAGCATGCAGGTTTCACCATGTATCGCCAGAAGCTCCAACAGAACAGGAAAACAATCACCGCTCCTGATTAAAAAGGGAAGCAGAAAATAGCCACCCAACAGGGATTTACATGTATACCATCCTTGCTAATTGAGCTATTATCATCTTAATTCTTCATTGCATTATAAATACGAGAATTTTTTCCTTTTATAATAGCACAGCTTTTGCTCTCTCTCTCTCTCTCTCTCTCTCTCTCTCTCCAATCCCAGGTTTTTGCCACAGCCATTCACGGGCTGGGCTTTGGGCCTGAATTTACACTTTGTCGGGCACAGGTTTCGGGCTGGGCCATACAAATTTTGGCAAGGGCCAAGCCCGAGCCTGGCCCATGAACAGGTCTGCTAGACTACCAGCAGGCTGAGACGCTAAGCTGATGATACTTTTGTTCCCTTTTATCAACGGGCCTTGGTCTTTGAGGTTACGGATATATGGCATATTATTAAATTCTCTTTAATATCATTACTCAGTTTTCTGGTATAAAAATCACAAGATTTTAACCTTGATATGTATGTTGAAAGACGACAAATTCACCGCTACCGACTACACTACACTCTAATTAGTTGCCATAGTTAGTTACATGGATATTTTAGTTTTTCCAACGTTTTTCAACATTTACCAATTGTGTCATGGTTTACACTTCATGTAAATCATTAAACTATGTATTATTTGACTTTTTTATTTTCATTGAAAACTTGTACCTAGTGTTATTGATATAATCTTTAGAAATTATTTGAGTTTTTCTATGCTGCACCGGTGGCTGAAGTGCTTGTGGTCTCAGAAAATTATCTATGATCAGTTGTTAATATGTTAGTTCATTTTGATCGCTTGTGACGTATGTAAATAGACAATGTAAAGGGAGTAGGGATATATATTTTGGTAGCCCTCAAGGTCAGGGTAATATGTGTTCAGAACCTGTCTTAATTTCCACAAAAAAAAAAGGAAAAAACTGTCTGAATAAAATTAGCTTTTCTTTTTAAAAAATGTACTCAATGTGTGCTATGATTAGAGGTGTACGGCACGGCCTGCAGGTTGTTACGGGCTGTGCTGCCCTCCCCGGTGAAAAATTTGGGGATCGTGCCGTGCTGGCCCGTGGGCCAAGTCTTAGGCCAGGTTGGGCCGTGCATTGGGCCAAAGCTATTTATTTAAAAAAAATTGACAAAAAACTTAAAATTTTAATTTTATATGAATTTTGTGTATGCAATTTCTTATATATACAATAATTAAATAAATTAGTATAATAAAATTAAAAAAAATTATTTATTTTATTAATATATTATATATTATATATTATTATATAATTATAATTTATATAATATTATATAAATATACATAATATATATAAATAATATATGTGGGCTGTGCCGCGAGCCGTGCTGGGCCGGACTGCGGATTGGGCCGTGCCGTGCCAGCTCATGAACCTAAAACCCCAGGCCCAATACAACCCACATGATCATACCAAGTCTAACACGGCCTGCAAACCATCGTACCAAGCCGGTCCAAGTACGTACTGGGCCGCGGCCCGAGTTACACCTCTAGCTACGATGCGTAAAGTCATCATTTCAACCACCACCTTTGCATTTTTCTGATACTTGTGATGATGGGCAATCATTCTATTGTTCCCCACGATATGTAAGCTCAACAGCCTAAATGACTCGTTGACTAGTTCAAACCTGTTGCCGATTGTATAAGCCCATGCACATTTTTTCTCTTTCTTTTCTAGGTAAATGGTTGAACAACATTACAACAGTGAACAGGGGGGGGGGGGGCAGCCCCAAGGTTCAAAATATCGATAGCATATCGGCCTGTATTCTCGTCCACCCTTTTTTTATATGAAATTGGTTTAGAGGGGTCGGTTTAAAGATGGTCTATCCCCTGAACCAGGTCACACCCAAGGTTTAAAGTATTGGAAACCTAACGTGTATCAGAAAGATATTTTTAAGAGACATATCAGGATACACTTTGGATACGTATGGATATGGATGAAAAATCAAGAGATGCATAAATATGGTAAAAAATTTAAATAAATCTTAAAAAATATATTACTAACTATATTTATAAATTTTATATGATTGTAAATAAGTCATTTAAATGTAAAAAATCATAATTTAATGGTTTATATAAAGTGTGACATATTGAGACACAATTAGTAACCATTGAAAAAATGATGGAATAACTAAAATGTAAAAACAAAACAAAAATAAATAAAATAAAACGTGAATGTCAATTTACAAAAACCAATATAATTAATCTTAATATTTATTAGCATATAAATTTTAATAATTAATTCTAGCATTTATCAATAAAAACCTGTCACTCATTAAGAAAAGTGAAAATTTACTTAAAATTAAAAATACATATAATCATAGCAAGCAGATATGTGTGGCTCATAAGCGAACTTGTGGTTGTTAAAACTTAAAATCAAGTGCCCAAGGTTTGAATCTTGCTATAGCTAAAATTTGAGTTTTTTACACTAACAAAATGAAATTAATGATAGGGGATCATTTATGAAAGGAATGAGAGAATTTGAATTAGGCGCTAAACTTCAAATTTAAATTTAAATTTGCCTTGGAGTAATTGGCTAATTAATGAAAGAGAAATTAGACTTAAATAAACGACATTAATGAGAGATTCGATACTAAATATGGATTAACGAATAACGATACAGATCCAAACTATATCAGACCGTTTCGGGCCCATATCGACCAATACAGATCCAAAACAGCCCGTTATGTATGAAAAGAAACGAAATGAAACGAATGATTTATACATGTTCCACATATCGAGTTCTTGTCGGAACGATACGTATCGGCCGATACAGACCGATACGTTGTGATATTTTAAACCTTGGTCACACCCCGATATGACTCCTGTAAGGGTGTATCATTAAACCCCTGATATGATATGATATGCCCGATATGGGGCATATCGTATTGAAGTTTTGAACCTTGGGCAACCCTTCCCAAAACCCTAACCCCAACCCCTCCAAGGCTCCAGCCTTGGTGAAGTCTGGACAAGGTTTTTTTTTTTTTTAATAAAAATAGTAATAGAAACAATACAGCAAGCTAATTGGCACCTTCTTACTGAAAATAAAAATCATAACAATATTTTCTCATTTTTAGAAAAAAAAACGTTTTGGTTCATAACAATATTTTCTCATTCTACCTATTTTTTATTCTTGTCTATTTTAGAATTTCATCTTGAATAAGAATAAGAAATAATGAAACATCCCAACAGGGTTATTCTCACAGGAACACCGGTTAAGCATTTACATTGCATGGGGCACGTGGTGAAAATAGAGATAAAAGAGCAAAATATAAAATTATTCATTTAAGTTTTATGACCTGCACAAGTATCCGCTTTCTGCTAAATTTTGGTAGCTGGATGTGGACTTGGTTGGTAGTATAGTAAGTCTGATAAACCAAGGTGCTCGTAGGCTCCTAGCGTGATTGCACTGCCAGTCTGCCTATATTAAATCCTTCATCAGAGCCTCTGATGATTAACCGGCCAACAGAAGGAGATCCTGCTCGTGAGACCTGTCGACGTGAAGATAGCTTATACTCTCTTCTTTTCTTTTCTTCTTTTTTTTTTTTTTTTCTTTTTTGTTTTCCTTTAATTTAAAAATAACGGAAGAGATTGAAGTCGGGAGTCGGGACATGTACCTTCACATACAAGGGCAAAAAATAAAATGCACAACACATTACGGACTAGTTTAGGCGCCAAATAGAAGTCTTAAATCTTATTACAACAAATTGGATTTCCAGTGAAAGGCATAAACGTTCATGTGCGCGAGTTTAAAGAGAAAGGGACATGAAATGGATACACACCAGATAACACTTGCTTTCCTCTCTTTTCAGTTTTCTAACACTTTGTATTATACAATATCTAGAAGTATAGAACCTTTTGACACCTTCCCTGAATTATTACTGCCTAATGAATGGGGAAGGAAGAAGCAGTAGCTCTTCCATCCCGAAACAAACCCTCCTTACCCTATCGCTATTTGCCTAGCATTCGCAGCTAGATGATCTTTGCTGGTTTCCACCCGCCACATCAATTGTGTCAGGAAGATATCTTCATCAATCAACAAACAAATGTCAGTAATAGCTCCTAGAACAGCTAGAGAGACCAAAAAGAAAATGGGTTAAGTAATAAGAAATGATTTAAGCGCTACTAAATTTAACAATAATATGATACAGGATAGAACGAAATGGCCAAACAGGATTCATGTAGCAGACCCCATATAGTTGGTACTAAGGCTTAAGATGATGATATTTGGGAGGAGGGGGAGGGTTCAAGTGAACTTCAGCAAGAAGGAAATAACTTCAAAATTCATAAACCAAGAATATTTCAGTAATACTCACATTTCTTCTTCAGGTTCATTCTTCAGAGCATTCTTTGCTATACATTGAAAGGCAGCTTCGACATTAATACCTTCTTTTGCAGAAGTCTCAAAGTAGGGAATGTTCCCTTTGGAGGCACACCATGCCTTTGCCTTCTTCTCAGATACCTGAAATAGTAGAATAAATTAGTACATAACTCACGACTAAAAAGAGAGAAGTAGCATGAATAACTGCAGAAAAAATAATCAGGAATTTATGATGAATTAACTCGGATATATTTTGGGTTCAAGGACAAGCAAGCTTACCACTCGACTGTTTCCACCATCAACATCTATCTTGTTCCCCAACACAACAAATGGAAAGTTCTCAGGGTCTGACGGGCTGGCCTGCATTATCATGAGGAATATCTATTCAGTCCTGAGTTCCCTGAAACCCATAGTCCTCTATTTGTAAATGAGTTCCAACAGTAATTACCTGGATCAGAAATTCTTCCCGCCAATTGTTAAGGTTGTCAAATGACTTCATCACATTCACGTCATACACAAGAACACAGCAGTCTGCACCACGATAGAAAGCCACACCCAGGCTTTGGAACCTCTCCTGCCCTGCTGTGTCCCATATCTATATGAACAATCCCAACAGGCATCAAAACTAAAGAAGGAAAGTGGGCTCAACAGAAAAATATCATGATAGATTTTCCCCCACTTAATTCCCCTTCCAAACCCCATCCAAAACACCAACAGCAATAGTCCTAAGGTTGTGTTTGGTCTGAAAGAAAATAAGAGGGAAACAGAGACTTAAGGGATTTTTTTTGACAAGTGATAAGTGGAATTTCATTATATTAGGAAGAAACTATCAATGGATACAACATGGAAATTCCAAGACGCACGAGCTGCAGCCTCCAAAAGAAAACAAAATTACAATTGAGCCCAAAATAAGTTGTCCCTAAACACCCCTTGCCTAGCTAGATAATCTGCCAGCCCATTAGCTGATCTCCTCTCCCACTTAACTCTCACTGTTATGTTTGAGGTTAACCACTTAAATCTTCTTTATCAACCCCTAAAGGGACCAAGCTACAGTCTCCGGCTCCTTCAGCCACCCAGTTACCAGTTTAGAATCACCTTCTATCAGTAGGTTCCCAAAGTTCAGTTCTCTAGCAAGCTGTGCTCCTTGTAAAACTGCTTGAACCTCTGTATTAACCGCAACCCCAAATTTGGGCTGTGTTTGAAAGCGGTGTAAATGTACTTTTACACTGGTTGGTTTAAAAGTGTTAAATGCGAACTGGTATTATTGAAGTAAACTTTTACATCATTTTTATCGAAGTTACATTTTCAGTATTTAATTACACTCCATCCAAACTGCTACAAAACTGTTACACCACAAACAAATGCAGCCTTAAGGTAAAGTTCTTAAGAATGAAAAGGTTTCCTCAAGAACATTTCCTCAACTTTCTAATTCCCTCTTACTTGGTGTTTTCATTGTCATTTCAAAGTTGTCAAACAATTGGACCAAAATTTATAATTCTGGAACCTGCTTTCCATAATATCATGGTTCATGACTACATGTGGCAAATTCCTTCATGGCAGCAATATTACAAAGTGCAACCACTGATATCTAATGGTTAGTCTAGAAAAGGGTTAAGATACACCATAGATATTTTCAAGTTTTAAACAAAAAAAATTATTGAGGCTTGATGTTTACAAGTTAAATAAGAAAGTCATTTCTTTTTTTCTCAAAAAGTCCTTGTTGGAAGATTTCGGTAATTATGTACTATATTATGTGCTATTTTAGGTAGTTGAGAGATTTGTGAGCTGTACAAATATTTTTAGAAATCAGTTGTATTTTTTCCTTTATTTAGGGAGATTTGTTACCTAGTTTGTATCCTAGAGAGAGCTATAAATTTTGATGTAGAGAAGCATAAAAAATCATCCCATTCTTATTATCTTTCTGTCTCTTCTTTAGTCCTCTTGAGGCTTACTGTTTACAAGTTATCTCCCTTTGTTCCATGTCCTTTTCCCTAAATATCCCAAGTTCCCAACAATATAGCACCAGTTCATCACTTATCACCTCACACTTGTTTTCTTTGTAGAGCAAGTTGTGAAACTATAGCCAACGTATTAATCTCCTGCCCTTTCGTATCCAGCATTTAGTGGTTTTTCTATTCTCTGTTTGGCTGCAGGTGGACTCTTGCAAGGGCAGTGGCCAATCTTTTCACCTCAACTTTCTTTTCCCCATCAAGGAAGAGAGGGGAAATCCAGACCTTGGGAAGAAAGGAATTCCAGCATATTAAAGGAAAAAAAAGTAAAGAAGCCTTAAGAGATTAACTTGGATGAAAACTATACACTTCAGTGGCAAGAATTTGGCAACCTCCAAGCTACAACAAACATCAAGCTAAATTTTTTATGGGTATAGTTTGGGAAACTGCAGAAACTCAGGAGCTTAGGGAGGGGGATTAGAGATTAGGAAGCAGCCATCTTGACTTTGTATTCAGGAGCTGTAGGCTATGGTGATTCAATTTAAGCTGAATTAATGCCAGTGCTACAAGGCTTGAGATTAGCTAAACCTCTTTGGTATAGAGGTATAATGGTAGAAGGAGACTCTTACACATCTGTGGGTTCTGGGTTGGTTAAGAAAGAATAGAATAGGGTCACAGAAATACAGGTACATTGTGAGGGAAATAGAGAAGCTTGCAGCGGAGCTGAGAACAGTTTTCGGTTTATAATTTGGTTCCAAGATCTGCCAATGGATTGGCAGAAGATATCAATTGGAAAGCCAAGAGCATTGGGCTTATTGGACCCAACCAACCCTGGATTACCAAGAGAGAAGATATCAATTTTCAATTCCATTTCATTTTTATTTGGATGGCATTGCTCCATGTAAGAAAATTTTTAGGTCTCTTAAACTCCACTAAATGGCCTCCCTCCTTCCCAACCTTTCAGTGTATGTTGGGGAAAAACAACCAGGGATACATGTTGCGGTAACAAAGCTTTAAGGAACTCTCCCAATTCAACCCAAGTCCCTTTCATATGACAAAATCAAGGAAAAACTAGCAAAGAAAGGGGTGAATAGAGATTCTGGCAGCTTTGCAAGGTGCACAAAGAGCTAAGGAGTTGAACGATAGTAAACTGATAAAGGAAGGAGACTCCAAACTGGTGGTGGGTTGGTTGAAGGAGGACGAGAATGGACTCTGGGCATACAGTAATGAAAAGAAAAAATTCAAGTGGATGACACAGGACATTGAAGTGGATGTGTTTCGGGTCGAAAGAAGTTACAATTCCTTTGCTAATGGGTTAGCTTAAAAAGGAGTGAATAGGGTGTCTTTGTAGTTTGTTCTGGGCTCAATTGTAAAATCTTTTCTGGTTTATTTTCTGTGTTTGTTGGGAGAGTTAAGAGAGCTTACCTCTCCCCTTTGTACCTTTCTTCCTTATTAATGAAATCAGAATTTATCATAATCTCAATACTACAAAAAAGGAGAATCAGTTTATTAAATTTATAATAAAACATAATGTATTATAACTTTAATATTTAAAAAATCAGAATAAATGTATTTCTATTTACTAGTGTGAAATAAATATATTAGAATTTATAATAAATCAGAATTAAAAATAAGAAAAGAAAATATCAGATAACGTTGTAAAAACATCAAAATGCATAATAAATCAGTAAATTGTCATTTACTAATTTGTTATTGATCTTAGTTTCTTAGCTTTATATAATGGTTGGGAATAAGATAATAGTCTAGAAATATGTATTAATGCTTCTTTTATCATTTTATAAAATATCTTTGCATATTTCCACATATTTCATAATATTTCCACAATGCCTCTAATTTTTACAATATTTCCCCTCGACATTTTCGACACATGTCCTATATTTTGGTAAGCGACATTTCCATCGACATTGACATTTTAAACCTTGCTCTAAAGTGGAGTTTTTTATTTGGGTGACAGTTGGAGATAAGTGCTTGACAAAGACTATGTTGATTCAAAAAGGGGTGGTGCTTCCAGACGCCTCGTGTGTTCTATGTGGTAAGGGAGAAGAGACTTCCAGTCACCTGTTTCTTCACTGCGACTTCTCTTCAAGAATCTGGAGTCACTTGTTAAGGCCATTCACCTTTCTTTTTGCATGCCTAATTCTATCAAGTCTCTTCTTGAGAGTTGGAAAGTTGAAGGTCTAAGCAAAAAAGGTAGGATAGTGTGGAATGTAATTCCTTTGGCAGTCTTGTGTAAGGGTGTCAATGGACCGGTTTTGGATTGGACCCTGTCCAATCCAAAATCAATTTGAATGGACCAACAAGACATATTGGATTGGACCAATCTGGTCCAAAATATTTATTAGATTGGATTGGACCTGGTCCGTCCATAACAAATTTATATTGGATTGGGTTGTATTAAGCCAATATCTGGTCCATTGATATAAGATAAGAATATATGTGTCAATGGGCCGGGTTTGGGTCGAAACTAATCTAAATCAAAATGAATTTGAACAGATTGGACGGTCCAGACATTGAATTGGACCGGTCCAAATTGGTCCAAAACATTCATTGGATTGGATTGGACCTGGTCCATTCATAATGGACTCACATTGGACTCGATCGGATTGGACCAAATCCAGTCCAATTGACACCCCTAGTCCTGTGGTCCATTTGGAGGGAGAGAAATAGGAGGATCTTTGATCAAAAGCAGATCTGAGTAGAGAAGGTGATTAATTCAGTTGTAGATGAGTTGAGAGGGTGGCTGAGCTCAAATACGCTGTTCAAAAGAGATGTTTCTAGTGCTGGTGTAGTGCTTAATTTTTTGAGGTTTCCTAAGGTGTTTCTCTTGCACAGCCTTTGTGCACTGAACCCTTCCTATATCTTTCGTTGTGTTTTCCTTAATAAAATCTTACTTTACCTCTTCAAAAAAAAAAAAATGTTTGGGTGATTCAGAAATAAAGGAGCTTACCCCCTACTTAATGACTCGTTCACAAAAAGACAGAGCTATAAGGCATTTACTTTAGCTAATTCAACTGTTATCAAACAGAGCTACATATATCAGCATCTTACACATGGAGACGGACCAAATAATGAATCTGGAAATATCCTAACCTATTGTTTACATTAGTAGTTCATGTTTTCTCTTAAAATCCCTCTTAAATCTATTAACAAAAAAAGACCAGAAATTCACCTTAGCATTCAGGAGGTAATTAATACCAATAAGCAAGAAACAAGTTGAAGCCCATAAAACATTTATTACGGATTTCCAGTAGTAATCAAGGTCAAACTAAACAAATAAATGCCAATTCAAATTATATATAGAAAAATAAAAACATGGTTTAAGATCGTTACTCACCTGTAATGTGAACAATCTATCTTCAAATTGGACTTCTTTAGTCAGAAAATCAGCTCCAATTGTTGCCTTGTACTGGTTACTGAACTTACGGTTCACATATCTAAACAGAATTTAAGGATGCACAACCACCATCCATACTGAGGTATAAATGCAATCATTAAGAGAAAACAACTATTATTTGCAGAGATGGAAAGATAGGGACAGGGGGGGAGAGAGCAAGATCAAAGCCTTCAAGGATACTGATTCATTAGAGATGTCTTCCCGACCCTATCAAGATTAAGCAGACGCAATGAATAAAAGAAAAAAAAAATAACGGAATAGGAAGATCTACTGTCCACATAGTCGAATTATATAAATGAAACCAAGAAGATAACAAAAGATAGTCAAGGTTCATCAATTAGAAAGTTTCAGAAACCAAGAATTCGAACGGTTTCCGATGAAACGAATCCTTTTAGGAATTATAAGAAAGCTCACCCGCTGTCACCGAGGATTATGACCTTGAGAAGCATCCGCCTTCTAGACGCCATGGTTTCAAAGCTCCGAATTCTCTGTAAAAGATCAAATTTTGCAGGGCTTTGTCCTCTGAAAGAAAATCAAACCCTAGTAGTTTTCGAAGTCGCCCGAGAGATCTCTCAGAAGTCTAAATTTTAGCGGAGAAAAATAGTTCTTCATCCAACCAAGAATTACACGATAATCATTTTAGAGACAGCGAGGAACTGCGATGACATTGATATACCAAAATTACCACTGGAGTTGGCTTTAAATTACTATTGACACCAAAGGCGAACATCTTAGAGCCCGGCTTCAGTCAGTGCAAGATCTTAAGAAGATCTCGAGCTCTTCTTTCTTAAGACCTATCTATCACCCGACGTACGTGATAAGGGCTATAGTCCTGTACTAAAGTGTCGTTTTTTATGCTGTTGATGTCACCAGTCCATCCTCCTAGGGTGGATCCCAAGTTGATTATCATATTTGCTAGCACCAGAGATTAGATCGAAACATCTGAAAGTAGTGGGGCCCAGCCATGGGTGACTTAGATTGTCCTTGCATGTGCACCACGCGTTTATGTATAACAATTAGTCTAATGGCACGTGCATTTGCATGTACAAACAAATGAATTGTGAGGTAGTATAGTTTTTTTTTTTTTGTACTTTTTTTTTTCTGCTTTTAATTTTAGAGTCCGATTCAGGGGTGATGGTTTTAAGTTAGGGATGATAATTTCTACCCTCGTTATGGGAGTTTTTTTTTTTTAAATTAATTTTAATTTTTTTGTAAAGAATAATTGATAGTTTATGTGTTTTTTATCTTTTAATGAAATAATTAAAATTTTTATGTTTTGTTTATGCTATTTTATTTGTTTATTACAAATATATAATATAAAATAATGGGAAATTAGATGTGAGCTCTAGACCCAATCCATCGGACCCACCCTCAAATGTAGGGAGGATAGGGTTAGTGAGATTTATGTGTGGAGAGGGGTTGGATTCTGAAAACCCAACCTACTACGAGTTTTGGAGAGGATAAAAGTTGGGAGGTCTAAGGAGGCTGGTAGGATCAAGAATTTAGAGAACCCACCCCATTATTGCCATCCTATTTTAAGTGATGCAAACAAATTGAATCGAATTAGGATATAAAAAGTAAGTTTGAGATATCCGAATTACATTCAAATCTGACTAATATGGAAACTCTAGTATTCGAATTCGATTTGATTAAATAGTCCCATATTCAATTAGAATTTGATTTGATTCTCTCACATACATCCTTCCACTTTTTATAATAATAAGTAAAACATAAACGTAAAGAAAAATAAAAAAAGAAAAGCTTATTTTCATATTCTGACCTACTGTAGGCTATAGAGACTAGAAAATCTTGTTGCTCTGTGTTCAATGACTACAGCCTATAGGACGGGATAGCAATCACAAAGTTTGTCGAAGAAGAGAATGATAGTTTTATTGATGAATGAATCCTTTATATGATAGCAATCACAAAGTTCTAATCAAGACCCGTGCGACACATAGGCTTTATTTATTAGAAAAATTGATGATAGAACTCTATGACATTTCCAATTAAATGGTGTCTATCTAAGTTCAATTCAAATATTATTTTTTGGGGTTATGTTTGATCACAATCTAAGTTGTGTTTTAGTGAGAGTGGCTAATTTCTTATTCTCTAGATAAAATTGTATTATGTTTTTTTTTTGTATCTTAATGCTAATTTTTATTAATTTTTTGGAAAATATTTTTTTATTAATTTTTATTGGTATATTATTAATTTTGTATTGTTTTTAGGTAAAACTATAAAAAATCCTCTTATAACAATTTTATAAGCCACCTTTGTGTTTTGACCCTAACAAAGGTGTCCCCTATAATTTTGAGAAAAAAAGTGCAACTACCTCCTTTATCTTGACTCTTCGGTAACAAAGACATTAAAGTTACCAAAATACCCTTATCATTGTTAATGCATTATCATACATAAGGTTTCAACTTTACTCTCCTCTAATCTATTTTGCTAAACAACTTTCAAAGAATAATTCTCCTTACTCTCCTTGGACAAATGTAAAAAGGTTTAAGTGAAGTAAAATTAATGCATACATCAACATTTTTTATTTGGAATGTTGATTAAAGGAAGGTATTTATACCTTTTTCTTTTAAATAATAAGAGAGGTTTTTGTTAAGATCAAAACATTGGGGAGTTTCATAAGATTGTCAGAAAAACCCAATGAGGTTTTTATAATTTTCCTTATTTTTAAATGAAATTTAAATTAATTTTGAAATGATTAAACTATGTCTAAAACTAATATCTTTTTATTATTTTTTGAAAATAGTAAAAATTGAATTTATTTAAGTATATTAAGTTTTTATTAAATTTAAATTCCTTATGAAATTTAATTAACTATATAAATTTTTATTATTTTAGTGGAACTTAAGTTGGTTTTAAATTAATAAATTTTAATTATAAAACTAATAATTTTTAGATAATTTTGTATTAGTTTTATATTAATTTTAAATTGATATTCGTTATGGAATATAAATGGATTATAATTTAGTGCAATAATATATCATTGAACATCTCAATTTCAATACAATTAATCTCTCTCTCTCTCTCTCTCTCTAGAGAATTAGTGGCATGAGTTATTGAAGAAGAGAGCTAATGACATTATTAATAAGGAGAGATTATTAAAAGAGTTAAAAAGAGAGAGAGAGAGAGAATAGTGTTTTAATGAGGAGTATTAAAATTCTTAAAGGTGATTGATCACTTGAGTTATTTTATTAAATTTAAAATTTAAGAATTCAAAAATACCACAAAAAAGATAGGTGGCTTTGGCAATCATTTATTGATAAATTGGTCATTTATAGAGGAATAAGATGGGAAATTGCCTACCTAGCATATTGAATTTTAATATATAGATATAGATATTTGGCAATCATTTATTGATAAATTGGTCATTTATAGAGGTATAAGATGGTTAAAACTAATCATACATGGTGATTAAAATGATTGATCATGATTGCATGGGACTGTGTACAACTGTCATAACTCATAACCGTTAGCGGTTCCTTTCCATATAACGACTTAGGTTGCCCTCATGGCCATGCCATCGGTCAGGATGGCTGCTGTGTCTTTGGTGTTGTCTCCAGGAATTTTAGCACATAAAATCCCTCTCCCTCTCCTATCCTTATCTTCAAGGCTAGCGTTTGGGAACTGCTTGTAGAGCTCTCCCCAATGTCCCAATAAGTTATATTAATTGGTGTTTTCTTCTAGTGAACAGTGTTTTTAAATCGGGAACTGGTTACTTAAAATCGTTTTTTTGGCAAAGCTATTGATTTGGTCAGTAAACCATTGACCCAAGTGATCGGATAATTGAATCGTTCAACCTGAGAATTGTTTTTTTACTGTTTTTTGAGTTTTATTATTTATTTTTATTTTTTCTATCAGAACAGGTTGTTCATTTAGACCGAACGATCAGACCGTTTGACTCTGAAACCAAACCCTAGAACGGTTTCCCATTTGATCTAATTTTAAAAACTTTAGTAGTGAATGAAAACCCTTAAGACCATGGTGGTCCAGTTAGAGATGGATTCAAGATGAACCTAATATCTGATTATTCAAATTTGGCTCGTCAAAAAAAGCATAAGGCTCGAGCCCAATAAAACTTGGCTCGTGTAAACCTTTAAATAATTCATGAATTACAATTTGGGGAAGCAGTGATTCGAATTGATGGAAAGATTTGACGCTTGCCCTTGAACCCTTACTGCCTTACTGGTCCCAATAGGATGCATTAGCGAAGTGGAAACTGGGGAGTGCATAAGTAAGGCCACTTCTTGCCTTTAGATCTCCAATAATCATTTCTTTGAAAGGATACAAACCCAACTCCGAACGCAAGGTGTTGTTTGTTTCAATTTGACATATTAAGGTTCCTCCAGCCCCAAGTGCGCCTTTTTCCTCCTCTTTAAGTGCCTGCAATTCGCCTTATTTTTTAGAGTTCCTTTAGGATGCGTTGGCCTTTCACCTGTCAATAATACTTGAAAATGCGTTATATTATTATTTCGGATTTGGATGATGTATTTATGTAATTGGATCGAATTCAGATATTATTAATAATTGGATTAGATTCAGATTTAATCATTTAACTCCACCCGATCCAATCAAAATTCAAATTCGATTGTATTATAATATTTATTAATTTTAATATATAAATTTTATATTATTATAGTTAAAATTATAAAATATATTCTATATATTATATTATATATGAATTTGTATATAATAAATTTAATATGTTATATTTATATTAACTTATTATATATAAAAGTAAAAAATAAATATTTTTTTATTTTTTTCTGATATTTTAGAAAATTTATATTGGAATCGGATTAAATCAAAACCCAATCCGAATCCATTAAAATTCGAATGTAAGTTCTCAGTAATCAGATCGAATGCGGATCTTGCTGCATTCTATCCAAATTCAATCCAATTACAGCCCTAACTCTACCTTGTTTATTTGTCTTTGCAAGTTTTAGAGTCATCACCTTTGAAGTTGGTACCACATAAACCCTAGTGTCGTTGGGACCATTCGAATAAGGTTCGTGACTTCTTTCATAACATGACTCAGAAGACCATCACCCTGACTTTCAAGCAAACTGGATTAGACCAAATTGTTGGACCGATTGACCCAAGAACCAATCAGAGATTCGGGTCTGATTTTGAACCCCAAAACCGTCCAACCCAAACTTGGACCATTTGACCCAAGAAGCGGTGGCCAAAGTGGTTTCGTTTTCAGTCCGATTTTCAAAACCCTGCTTTCAAGCGATAAATTTGTAATAGAAGTTAATGCATTATTCAATGTAAGTGGCGTGACTTTATAACGCTGGGCTTGTTACTGAAAAGAGCCAAGATGTGTAATGGGCAATCCAGCCTAATGGAAATGGCACAAAGATGTTTACAACTACTTGCCCACCTTCAGTTTTGGGTTAGTGGATACTTGAAACCATTTTCGAACTGTCGTTGATTCAAACGGTTGGACCGTTCAGCCTGGGAATCGTATAGGTAATTAGTTCCGTTTTATTCTAAATATGGTCTCTGACAAAAAAACGTTGAATTGGTCAATAACCCGTTGATTCAGGTGATCAAACTGTCGATCCATTTGACCATTCAATGATTTTGACCGATTTTAAATTTTAATTATTTTTTATTTTTTTAATTTATTTTGTCAGAACGAGCTATCTATTTGGACCAGGCAATCGAACCATCAACCGAAAAAACGGTGGCTAAAACGATTCTGATTCTGAGTCATTTTTTAAAATATTGCTCGAAACAATTTCGTAGCCCTTTATTGGCAACGGATAGGATTCGATGTAGACATGATCTATATGAGAATTGATAAAAACCTCGTTACATCCGCTCATTCACTATAAATTCGGGGTCCCGAACGGTTCCTTGTATCCTCTTCCATATTGACAAGCTTGATCTCCGCATGGTATGAATGTATGATAAGAGATCTTGGAAAGTTGATCTGTTGGCTGTTCATTGGTTAGGTCAACGTTGATGATGAACCATTGCTGTAAATAACTAAGATCAGAGTCTGGATCTGCTACTTATTGAGCGCTCCTTATACTAACCTCACAATGCCTTTAACCACATGCGGCGAACATCTTTTATACTTTGTTGTTTACTCATAGGGTGATGTTCTCAATGCATGATGGAATAGAGTTGGGTCGGTGTGAGCTGAGACAGGATCTACTCCTCACACTTGGGCGCCTCACATGCACATCCAATGTGCATTGGGAACATCTCCCGTGAATAATAACTTAAAAGTATGGGAGATGTTCCCAATGCATGGTAGAATGTGCATGTGAGGCACATGTGATGCATCCTTTGTGAGGAGCAGATCCAGTCTTGTGTGAGGTGTGCTATGTGAGTAGCAAATCCCTATTTCTAAAATCATTTGTTGACTGTCATGCTCCCTCTGCCTTCGGCCTCAAATTTGTGGGCGAGAGCCAAGAAGTGGCTCCTGGTTTCGCCAAAAAGCACTCCTAAAGCGAATATTTTGATTCAGTTGATGAAGTGTTTGTTTGGCATCGATGTTGTTGCTCCAGAAAACGGTGACACATCAGCGCCATATTGGAAAAAATGGTACTCCAGGAAACGTTTGTTTGTTTGGAATCATTTTTCCATAAAAAATGGTGCTCCAAGCCACGCCTTGGAAATCGAGAAGGCATGGTTTGGAGCAATGCCGAATTTGACGTTTTTTCAGATTAGAGCTCGTTGCTGTCAACGAAGGCGTGATGTGACAATGACGTGGACTTTCTATAATGGGTACCAGTGCTAAAAACAGATATGAAGCACTGGTACCAAATAGAAAATGTTATTGTTGCTTTAGGAAAGGTCCTAGATTCATATCATTTGCACCACTAATGATTTTAGTTTCAACTTGCCTAGGAAGTTTTGGGCTTGGGCTTTGGTTAATTTTAGATCAAACACAGCCTGGATAGGCCCAATTTTTAAGTTGGGCCTAAACCAGCTAAGGATCAAAATATTGATACGCTCAATACCAACATATGGGTATTGTGTATATTGATATGATCAATACTCTACTACTTTTATTTGTTTTATTTTATTGCATTTGAGGGATGTATTCATGTATATATTGATGTATCCCTACTTCTCCTTGGTCACTGATATGGGATGTATGTATTGATATTTTGATCTTTGGGTCCAATCCAGTTTTATATATTATTTTATAATATAACACCTATAATATATATTATTATGTATAGACTAGAAAGGTAGCGATGGTCGGTCTCTAAGTTTGAAAATTGGCTTGGGTTGATAGTTAGAGAAATTGGTTTTGGTGGAAGAAGAGAAGTTTGGAAGCGGTTGTGGTCCTTGTGGAAATCTCCACTTTGCGAAATCAGTCTTATATACTTTATTTCTCTTATATAAACAAAGAATTTTCTGTAATATTTCATTTGTTAATTGTCAGCCATTGGTCTGTAGCCAATGCTGTATTTGTGACTTGTCACCCTTCTCTTATTTGACCCCGATCATTGCCCGGTTCAGTTTCGGCCCAGGTTGCACTGCGTTATTCCTACAATCCTAGAATATGACATATAATATGAAATATTATACATTTAACATTTTATGAATTCAGGCCGGGCCCTATCAGATGTGCAAAGCTCAGCATGGGCCGAGCCCTGCCAGCCCATCATCAACCCTTGGTCCGACTATGGTTTTATGATACCTGAAAAAATGATGTCCAATAAGCTAGTATGATATAAATATTTAAATATTTTATCCACTATAAAACAGATTAATAAGTCATTAAGTATAATTAGTCTAGCCATTATCAAATGGCCCCACTCAATTTCAAAGTAATCCACGCATTTTTGTAGGGGGCTTGCGTCTAAACTTGGAAATAGAAAGTTAGAAACGTAACACACATTAAGAAGCAGCTAAGCTAAGTAGGTTGCTTGCTTTCCCACCTGGAGAGCACTAGATTGTCAGAGGTTTGGAAAAGCTTAAGATTTTTTTTTTTTTCTTCTGTTAAGTAAAGCCTGGGAAGAATAGTTGAAAGTGACTTGGACCTAACCAATCCCTCAAGTTGGGAAAAGAGAAGCTAATCTGGTTGGTATTAATATGCTACTATGGATATTGGATACATCAAATATGGCATGGAATCGTGAGAGTAAGGGTGCAAAGCTCTGGGCCCTTGCTTCCATGACCCGTTCGTTTTTTGAATTTTTTGAAGGGGAAAGTTGATCAATGAAATTTTGGTTTCCAATGATCAAGTTACCTAGATAAGTAACTTCTCAAAAAGAGAACGTGGCCTACAAATAACTAGGACCAACTATCATAGTCATGAAAATGAAAGAGGACCAAAATAACTTGTTCCGTTTGGTGTGGTTTTTCGCACAGGCTGTTGGCTTTTTAAAAACCCAGCAATCCATGTTTTGGTCTTTTCTCGTTTGGTCGGGAAAAAGATCTAATTGCCAAAAGTCGCAGCCTCGAGAAGACGTAAGAAGTTCATTTTTGGCTATTTTTGGGAAGCTCCAAATGGAGCTTTTCACCTTTTTTTTTTTATCAATTCATCTTCACACGGAAAATTGCACATTAACCAAACGATCTTCAAGCTGCTAAGATCTTGATACAAAAGCTCACATCGTCTTTTGACAATCAAAACTTCCAGAAAAGACTTGCTATGCACATGTTCTGGCTAAAAATAAATTGGACATATTGCAGACAAGTCTCTCCAACTTGAAAAAGACAATTTGAACACGGCTTAAGCATTCTGTCAGTTGCTCTCCAACATAACTTCAACCCAACCTTCAGTTACTTCAGTTCTCGGTTTCTTATAATTCGGTTGACAAAATGAATGTACATATGATGACGTTCAAAACAGCCAAAAGAATTGACTCAGTTTGCTCTCCATTATTTTGTAGTATAAGCACTAAAAGAATTAATACAATCACAACCAAAAGATAATTTCCAAAAGAGAAAAGAAAATAATTATGTACGTTATCTCATCTGGAACAAGGTTGTTTGCCATCCTCACAAGTAAATGCTGTTAAGGTGGGAACTGGGAAAGAAGGATCTTTTTACAGGCAAGTTGAGCATGGATTTCAAGAGCTTCCATTGAAACCTCAACCGTCTTTCTTCATCCTCCCCATCTCCATCTCTCGGGTTGTTTGCTCACCACTTGATCCAGATGGATACAAGCCATACTCGCTAGTTGGTTCACTATACTCACTGCTGCCATATTCCTGGCTACTCAACACTATCTTCCTGAATTTCTTCATATCCTCCTTGTACTGCATTGTGTCATAATCTGTGCTCCCATGGGAACTGTAGACTGTGCTATGTCCAGGTCTGATGCCTTCATTCAGATCAGCCAGAGAACCATCTCCTTCCAAGGCTCGGACCATCTGCTTGGTTTAAAATCAAGGTTATTTGTTAGAAAGTCATGGTACAGACTACAGATGGGGAATATGGCATAAATGATAAACCCAAAATCTAAGAGTTCCCAGACTTATAAAAGAGGCAGAGCTGGTTCAATTATATACAAGTCTCTGGTTTGGTCTAGTCAAGAAGCTGATTTGATCATCAAGATGAGACCCAAGCTCCAAAAAAAAACCTAAACAATTAGTTTGATTCAGCTACCTGGCTCATGCGTGGTCGGCGCTTTGCGGAATGACGTACACAAGCAGCAGCACAAGCAATCATCCGTGCCATCTCATCGTAGTCATAACTTTTCTGCAAGCGTGGATCAACAAGAGGGTCATAGTTGCCATCTTCCAAAGCCTGCGTGAGCAAAGGCCTTGCCTGTAATGCCAAAACAGCCAAAGTTATGTTAATTTCATGGCAAGTTTTGTAACCAGCAACACCCCTCGATTTGCAAAAATATTAGAAAAACATCGACAAATGTTAAAGTGTTTGTAAGAGACGTATTACTTTTAAGGCTTGAAAAAGACACCCAAAAAAAAAAAAAAGAAAACCATATGGGTGATGCAAGAAAATACTTACCCAATCTACCAAGGAATCCTCCATGATGGTTTGAGTTGTATCAACGGGACGACGTCCGGTAATCAACTCCAGCAGCATGACTCCAAAAGAGAAAACATCTGATTTATCTGTGAGTTTACCACTCGAAGCATATTCTGGGGCTAGATACCTGTTGGAAACGAGTATGTTAGTCCAGAGAGCTCTGAATCCTCTACAGGAACCAAATGATAGTGGGCTATTCACAATAAACCACATTAGCCTGACATGTGGGACCCATGTATACAGAGCTGACATGATGGACCATGACTGGCTTAATAAAACTGACTTAGAGAGAGAGAGAGAGAGAGAGAGAGAGAGAGAGATCAGTGCAGGCACGATGGGATCTACTCACAACAAAAACTGTCCCAAAGACAGTCCCAACTTGATCTGTATCTACACATCTCACCGTGAGACCGGGACTCACCATGTATGCGATGTGCGGATAAGATTATGTTGGAATGTGTTGGTACAGTTTTTGGTTATGAGCAGATCCAGTCCCAGTGCAGGTATGGTGAGCATTTACTAAGCAATCACAATCAGATGGACTGAGTTCCAACCCCAAAAATAAACCAGCATAACTGCACTCTTCTTTGGTCTGGACTTGTATTAGGCCTCAAATAGTCAAATCAATCAGACTACTAGCATGGATGACAGACTAATGAAAAATCAATGAAAATGCATGAAAGAGAAGAGAAAAAAAAAAGAAAAAGAAAAATTGGAAGGCCTGCTCTAAACCAGCCAATTTTTGATAAATGTTCTTGCAACTATGAACATGAAATAGGTAAATAGGAGACTAACTAATAGAGCTTTAACCTTTCATGAAGAGACAATAAAGCAAAACAAGAGGTCCAATTAATGCAAAGGCCTTTAGACCAGCAGTTGTGGAGACTAAACCAGAACAATAAAGTCAAGATATCCAGGAAAATGCAAGTAAAATCAGGATCATATCAAGTGTGATTGCTTCCTTTCCAAATCATTCAACTCAACTCAACTAAGCCCTTTATTTGGTAGAACAGATCAACTAAACCTTGTTGCAACTATATGGGGTTGTCTACATGAATCCTTTCAAGACTATTAACTTTCGGTAATTGAATCTGAGACTTTAGATCGGATCTTACCCAAAAGTTCCCATTACTCGGGTGGAGACATGAGTGTTGGCATCAGAGGAAAATTTTGCAAGCCCAAAATCTGCAACCTGATCAAAAACTAGATTTTATTGACTAAATGATGATTGCGAAAATTAAAAAGTTTGAAAACATAAAAAATGGAGTTTCCAACTTCTTCCTAATATAGTCAAGGAAGTGTGTGCTTTTTATGAAAGGAACATGTCTATTTTTTTTTGAAATTCCCATGAAATTCCAAAATGACAAGTTGACAAATAAGAAATGGAATCCAAATAAAATAACCAAATGCAAGTTTTGACACGTGAAAAGAGTTACTTTACAAGCATCTTGTTGAAAAATAAAAATTGCAAAAACAAGCATGCTAATTAAAGAACCTATAATAATCTTCTGCAGAAATTCTAAAAAGATAGCCAGTGTCAAACACTAACGAAATCGATAACATGTTCTTACCTTTGCCTCAAATTTAAAATCGAGAAGAATATTGGCTGCCTTGATATCACGATGGATAATCTTAGGATGACCTGCAACAGGAAATATCTTCAACAAGTATAAAAAAGCACTGCAAAATCAACACCTTATAAATCAGAATAAGGTTTCTGATAAGAAGACAATATAAGAAAACTCACAGTCCTCATGCAGATATGCAAGTCCTTTTGCAGAGCCTAGAGCAATTTTTAATCTAGTGGGCCAGTCCATAGTTGGTCGCCCCTTTCCTGCAAGAAGTTGTTTTCTATGGTCAGATATCATCTAACAAGCACAGGACTCACAACAGAATAAAATAGAAAACAAATTTCAGACATGAAGCATTGATGAATAATGAGGTCTAAAGAGAAAGCTGTCATTAATAAGGTTCATATACAAATGCACAAGAAATATATAATATTCATGGTTCTTTCAGCATGCCATGATTGGCCAATATGTTGGTACCATACATCCTTTAAACAAAAGCAACAATAGGGCAAGAATAAGCCAAAACCTACCATGCAAGTGGAATTCTAAGGTGTAGTTTGGAACAAATTCATAGACTAGCATTCTTTGTGATCCAGTCATGCAATATCCAACCAATGAAACAAGATGCTTGTGATGTACTCGGCTAATAATCTCAACTTCTGCTTGAAATTCACGCTCCCCCTGCCCACTTCCAGCTTTAAGCTGTTTAACTGCAACTTCTTTCCCATTTGGAAGGACTCCTCTATGGACATATCCAAATCCACCTTGCCCTAGTAAGTTTGCATTTGAGAAGCCATCTGTAGCCATTGCTAATTGTTCATATGTGAATGTGCTCTTTGAGATGCCCAAGGCAATGCCAGGGGGTGGTGGTGGTGGTAGAGGGTTCTCAGACCCTGAATAGTTGGATCCAGACCCTCCACTACTGCTTGTAAATGGAGGTGGAGATGGCGACTGTGGTGGACGTGATGCAACAGCTGGTGGAGGCGTAGGCTTTGGTAGCACTGTGACAACACGGTCCCCTGGTGGGGGAGGAGGAGCATTATGTTGCCATTGTTGAGGCTGTCCACCATAAAGGTCATCTGAATATATTGACAACAGGAAAATGAGTTAGCCTGAGTAGTAGTTTAAACTTGAAAAACAGGTGACCATAAGGATAGAGATGACATTTCAGGAAACAGTTTGCACAAATCAATATTTTCAGGCCTGAACATAACTACTACAGGAAGCAGTTTGAGAGGATTCCATAACAGGTGACTATAAGGATAGACACTTTTTAGAGACTTGCATATTTCAGTTGTTGCAGTGATAGAAGGAACTACTGCATTATTCATATACTGAGATGAAAAACAACAAACTAAAGAAAATGTAATTTTTTATTTGAAAAAGTATCTAAAGAAAATGTAAATTGATGCAGAGATAGGAATTCTTGCTGGAATGGTACCTCTGCTGTCTAGCAGTTTGTTTTCTTTGGGTGGAATAACACTATCTTGCATTTCTTGATAAATAAATAAGGTTGGTAGCATCAAAGTGGACTAATGTGATGTAGGTCTAATGGATAGAGTTGAAGAACACCAACTCAGATAAGCATCCACACAAGTCAATAAGGAATTCAGGCTAACTGGCATTTAAGAACCTAGCACAGAACAGACTAAACTTCACTTGATTTCTTGTTTTTTCATTGTTTTAACATAATTACTTAAAGATAGGAAAATAACCTGGCCAGCAGTTTTTGGTCTGAAAAACATTTACTCTCTAATTATTAGCAGGGAAACACGTTTTAGCCTTTTTCTTTCCCATGAATACTTAAGCTCCAAAGAGATTAAATTTGAAATTAACAGATTTTACAGAAGAAAGAAACCTATAATATACTGAACAGAAAATGTAAAGCATGCTCTTGACTCCTACTTTTAAGGAGATTCAAGTTCCTATCTGTAGCAATAAACTCCAAGTCCAAACTTGGAATTTTTACACTGCAGAATGATCTTACTGTTCTAGACATAAAGGGAAGAAACGCCTGCATTTGTTATAAGTATGTGATATGCAGTGGAATTTTCTCTTTTAAAAAGAAACTTCAAGCACAGAACAACTTCAAATTTCTTGCAATTGCAATAAGATCAATGTTCCAACCCAAAAGAGTGACAGTACAGTTGTTGGTGCCACATGCTCTATTGGAAAATTTCAGACAGTTGTGGTATTCTTGAAGAAAATCTAAGCTTCAAAATCACCAGTTTATCCAATAAAAGAATACATATTCACCAAATTGTATCCTGGAGATACCAGTCAAAAGAGAGTCTAAATTATGGTTAAAATTGGTAATAATTAGATATCCAGATAAGATCATAAAAATAATAAGAACAGAGTCCGAAATTCATCTTTCTAAAAATTTCAATCTAGGAATTATACTCATAAGCTTCATTTGCTGTAGGTTGTTTATGATAAATCGAACTTCAACAAATAGATCAAACGGCAATAACTGTGCTCGGTGAAGGAAAAGAGGACACCCTTAATTGCAAAACTAAACTAACTGAAGTAGAATATTTAAATCCTGTGATATCAAAATTAGACAACAATAACACGAGACAGGGGAGAAAAACTCGACCTTTGGGCCCCGTCGGGGGTGGTACGTAGTAGTCCACCGGGGCCGGGCTATGATCTCTCCTCCGTTTTTTCTTGCATACGATGAAGAGTAAGCTCAACACGACAAGCAAAGCGACCCCACCAATCGCAATTCCAACGACGACCCCGGTCGAGACACTACTACTACTACTAGACGATGACGATGTATCTGGAGAAGGCGTTGTAGAAGACGGAGGCGACGGCGAACTCCTGGACACCGGCGGCGGAGGAGAGGGGGTTGATGGAGTCGCCGGTGTCGGGGTTGACGGGGTGCTCGGTGTGGATGAAGAAGGTGGAGAGGCACTAGGTGTTGCTGGAGTAGGCGGAGAGGCGCTGGGTGTCGCTGGAGTAGGCGGAGACGCGCTGGGTGTGGCTGGAGACGGCGGAGAGGCGCTAGGTGTCGCTGGAGAAGGCGTGCTGGGTGTCGCTGGAGAAGGCGTGCTGGGTGTCGCTGGAGAAGGYGTGCTGGGTGTCGCTGGAGAAGGTGTGCTGGGTGTCGCTGGAGAAGGTGTRCTGGGTGTCGCTGGAGAAGGTGTACTGGGTGTCGCTGGAGAAGGTGTACTGGGTGTTGGCGTCGCCGGGGTGGGGGGAGGGGGGGACGAAACTACCGGGGGCGGTGGAGAGGCCACAGGAGTTACCGGAGTGGTCGGAGAGGTAGAGTTAGGAGGCGGTGAAGAGGGGGAAGGAGTTACCGGAGTCACGGGGGTAGAATTAGTAGGCGGTGTTGAGGGGGAAGGAGCTACTGGAGTAACCGGAGAGGTGGAATTCGAGGGTGGCGGCGCTCCCGATGGCGTCGACGGCGGGGATGTTGGAGCCGGAGCCGCTACAGGAGGAGACGATGACATTGCCGGATGTTGGTCGAACTAGCGAACTTCAGTCTAAAGATTATTTCTCCGAGAAGAAACAACCCTTGATTCTTGGCAGCTGGTGCTTATTTTTTCCGGCAGTGCGCGTGAGAAAAACCCGGCGATTTATCACCGGGATTCTTGTTTTAACAAACTCTATCTCTGCGCGCGAAGTAATACAACTTTAGAAAGAAAATAGATAATTTCTAAAAACCGGAACTAAAAATAAGAAATTAATAGGGAATCAGGATCTACGTCTACCATCTGATCAGCACCATTGGGCGATTGTCAGGAACAGATTGGCTATCATACAATCATACGCTCAAATGTGGAAGTGGAACCCCGTTAATGACGGATATTCTATTACATTTGTGAATCGACGGTCTAGGATACTCGTGGTTTTTGACATTACTCTGAACATTTTCTACTAAAAACAAACTTTGTAACGTAAAAGAGAGCGTGATATTGCGCCGAGGGGAGAGAGAGAGAGAGTTTCAGATTTGAAAATATAGAAATCGTTTTCAGTTTTCACATGGTTGTCAAAGAGGAAAGAATGCTTGCATGGCGTGACATGGGCTCAGCGGGGGCCCAGCATGTGCGTTGTTGGACTTGGACCAGATTATGTTAAGAGCATCATCAAGCAGGTGATTACGGAAGAATTAAGAGAGAAGAAAATGATTGAATGGGCCCTACACATCGGGCACATGGTGGTCCCCACCTACAAACTTCTTTCCTTTGATACTTTAATCCTAAAATTTTATCTCTAATCGTATGCTGTCGACCTTATAAATATAATAATTAGTTTAATTAAGCATGTTTATTAGTTTATTATCAGAAGATAATAATAATAATGAGGCCATGAGGCTCTTGTCACTTGTGGTCTTGTTTGGAGGTGTCAATTCTTGACCTGAAGAAACCAACCTCCCTCAACTGACTTTCTTGTGGGTTTCCACTTTCCGCTCGAACCTTCCATCCTGGACTCATTCGGCCCAACCGTTCCAGCCCAAATTCTGTTTTTTCACCATTAACCTCGGGCCTTGATTTATGGTTTTTGTTAGAGTCCTTTGGGGGAGCTTCTGCGCGTCATGTTACAGAAAGTTGAGTTTTTTTTTTCGGCTCAGATAAGTCCTTTTTTACCCTTCTACTTTTCGAATTTTTACCAAATGAAAATATGGCTTGATGACTTTCTGGCACTTGTTTTTTATTTTTCATTTTTTTTGTGAAGATATGAATTTGGTGAAAACGATGGGCGGAGAATAAAATGAGTAACGGGATAGAAAGAAGGTAGAAAGTAGAATCCCCTCTCAACCTGAATCTCTCACTTTCACACTTTATATTCTTAGATATGGAGAAAGAATAGCATCCAAACATGAAAGGGAATAAAAGGATATGTTGCGTATAGGCCGGGCATATTTCCCTGCAGCCCGGCCCAATCAGCCCATTGCCAATTGATACTATTTGCCTATTGGGCTGGGTCCCTTGACACTGGTAATGCTTCACAGTTAACACAAACTGTCATGATGATTTGTGCAAAGCTTGCTTACAGTTTGTCACTCTCATATTCATTGATTGGAAACCCAGGATTTTATTACTCGACTCAGTACTATATAACATTGATCCAGCCGAGTTGGGTATTAGTCAAAACCTGGTTTTTCATGCCGTGTTCATAATCAGAATTCAGAACTAGGGAGATCAATGCCTTTTCTAAAAGCTTTTTGTAGGTCTTGCTGTTACTGTAAGTAGAAGGCAGTCCAACTGGAAACAACAGCCCATGAAATCACATTGATAAAGATTTAGACTCGCTTCCTCTGAAGTCAGGAATCTGAGAACTTAGGTTTATCTACCTTATTTAAATATTGATACTGAGAATGTGACATTGAGTTTGTCTCCATTAACTTCAGACATTCCTTTTGGTTATTCAATCCCCTTAGGCATATCTTTTATTGGCATAAAACCCCATCTGATTCCAATGAATCTACTTATTTGATTATAAGGGCCCAATCACCACAACTCTTCCTTCTCAAGTTTTCATAAAAAAACTAGATTCGATTGATGAGTTGTTGCTTGTTGGGTGTCCCATGCAGAGGAGTTGGACTGAGTTGGGTGGGTGCCCACTTGATTACATTGGGCCCAGGTGTAGGGATGGATAGCTGTAAAACTAAAACAAACTTGAAAAAGTAAATGGGCCTTTGTTTCTACTTTACTCAAAATGATTCATTACCAGATCAGAAATTACCTGTTATAGCTGGAACAAACCAGCAGCAGTTATAGAATTCAATGTGTTGAGCTTGGTATTTGGCTCATTCAAGTTCAAACATTCAATGCAGCAGTTCTACTGGGATTTTCTGACTTTTGATTTTCCTGTGATTAAATTAAGCCGTTAGCAGAAGTTGGGCTCATTCAAACAGTAAGTCAAGGTCTTCCTTTTTTGGGCCGGCCATTGATGCCCTCAAAATTATACAAATGGCATCATCCTGGTTAATTTATCTTGGAAACTTCCCTCAACTATTGACCACATTATTTTTATCCCTAAGAACTTTTAGTTGTAGATTATTATATTTCAATGGTTGAGATCTTATGGTTAGTGCATCATCCTTTGACTATGATGGGTTGAGACATCAGGTGGACATTTTTATGTGGGCCACAATTTGTATGACAAGGATGGAAAAAGGACTATAGACCTTGTGCAGGCCATGGACAAATATAACCCCTTCTCATAAGTTCATCACAATGCAACACAACTCATCATCCATTCAATGTGTTCTCTTTCCAATTATTTATCTGTAAGTTGTTGGCTTTGGTCCAAAGTTGATAAAAGTAAATGAAGGGGAGCATGTGATGAACTCTAATCAAAAGGCAAAAACTAGCTAAGAAAATACTGTAACCCACATTCAATCAGAAATATACAGGCTAGCAATTGGGTTGAGAGTTGAGACTTGAGAGAGATATCCAGCCAAAACCGGTTGCTGGTTGGGCACCATTAATAAATAATAACAGCTCTTTAGTCTTTATTAGCAGAGATATAATATTTAGTTAGAAGTTTGCTTCATTCAACTCAAATTATGAGACCATTGAAAGTAGCAGAGGTTCAAGCCTATCTATCTATTTCTATAATTTATTCCAAGAATGATTAAACCAGTAAGGCAAATTCTTTTATTTGGGCCCCATGATGTCTTTGCAGAAACAAACAGCCCCCAAATTGTTACAGCTGATTCATGGAGAATTCCAATTTACTTTATGAGTGCAAAAGGTGTTGGGTGTGAGGCTGAATCAGAAGATGATGCCTCAGAGCCAGCCAGACCAATTAAATGACATACTTTTAACCTGCCTGAATTAGTGAAACCGTGGCCTAGCTAGCCAGGAATCTGGTTGAGACCTGGGGCTGTGAATCCAGAGCTGACCCAACTAGGGGGTTGGTGGGTCAGGTCAAGATTGCTTGCCAGCTTACGATTACGACCACCCAGGTAATCGCTGGCTGCGGTGCTGCACAATGGCCCGACCTGACAATCGAAACTGGCTCCACAAGGGTCACAGGTTTCTTGGGAAATGGTGCAATGTGTGGCCCCACTGGCCCCATATGTATATGTGGATCTAAGCAGAGAGAGATGGGCCCCAGATGCACCATTAGAGGATGCCGAGCTGCATGTGGAAACTGCCATGCCAATTGGTGAATGAATTGTAAGGTCTCTCATCTTCTTTTAACTGCAAATTAAATGCAACGATTAAAACCATGTGCTGAAGAAGTTTTAAGTTTTGCATATTTGGAGAGAAATTCTTAATTCCCTGTGCATTTTTTTTTTAATGAAGAATATGCAATTATACAATGTTAACTTGCGGAGAAGCTCTCCTATATCCTATATTTGGACATGTCTTGATGACGGTGTACCGTAGAGGTTGCGTGGTCGTTCCTTCTTCTATTTGGCTGTATTCTTCTACTCTTCTTGTTCATTCATCCTGCACAGCTGCAGCCTAGTATTTTCAAAAAAAAAAAAAGCATCCAAAGTTCCAAGAAGAGGAGTTCAGATCTGTGGGGCGCCCTACAACGTCCACAGCACATTCCCGCTGTGTATTGGAAACATCTCTCAATGATAATATCATCATTTTTAATATATCATTGATAGATATTCCTAATACACGGTGGGGATGTATTGTGGGGCACACCTTATGAGGTGCAGATCTGATTGATGTGCAGTAAAATTATATACAATAGTTGGATGCCACCATTTACAGAAAAGCTCTCAAGTCATTGGTTGTAGACCAATCCTTGTAGATAAGTCCATGGGTGCAAGTCAGGTGCGCTCAACCCAGGCCCACCAACCTTAAGAATTGGGCCCTAAAGCCTAATTTGCCCAGTCTGAGCCCAGTCATGCACTCAGGTTGGATAATTAGCCCACGCTAACATTTTACATATTTCATCTGTACATATATGCAAATGTGCATGCATATATGTAGGTATACATGCAAATATTTGTTTATATATGCATGTTTGTAGCTTTGTATGTCTATGGTCAGACCAGACACGGGATAATTGAGCTTAGGCTCAGGCCACCTCAAAATTTTGGGCCCAGATCCAGCCCAAGAATTGAAAATCCAAGCTCACCATTTGTAAAATTACGGGCTGGGCCAGTCTCGGCTTATGTTGGGCCTGCCCTAATAAGTTTTTTGCATCCTTTGTATCTATCATCGTGAGACTCAGACAGACACTAGAACATGCATCCCCGAACATGATAACGAGACTGGATCTGCTCCTCAGCACACCTAACACGGACCTCACAGCCCCGTCCCAACATTTTCCATCCTTTGTGTTGTTATTGATGGGAAGATGTTCCCAATACACGATAGGATGGGACTGTGAGGTCCGTGTGAGGTGCTCTCTGTGATGAGCAGATCCCAATTCCAAGATAACCCCCACCGGATGTACTTCTTGGAAGTCAGAACATCCCCTCGATCTTATAAAACTTCTCTCTGGATTGGGCCAACCTCTTCCTAGCAATCGTCTCAATACAAAGTTGCAGATGAGCTTCTACTCAGGCATGTCTCCCAATTTATTTTGGTAATAAGAGATGTCACCTAAGTTAAAGCCAATTATCTGACGACACTTTTTCTTACAAATCGCACAACTGCACAAGCAATGATTTTAATCTTGGGCTATTTCTACTCTATTCCTTCATTATTTTACCCCTTTTATAGCTCAAGCGAATGAAAAAGTCTCAGGTTGTGGTGGATTTGGAGAAAGGACATTAGTTGCATTGCTCCCACCATTGCAACTTGCAACTTGCAAAAAGAGGGTGATAGTGAAGACAAATTGCAGAAGCAATGAGATGAGTTATTAATGGCATGCCAACCGGCATCCCTCTCTCTCTCTCTCTCTCTCTCGTCTAAGAAATGGTTCTTTGACATAACTAATTATGCCATGTTCCATACAAATATTGATTTGATATAACTAAACTAACAATTTTGGGGCATTCACAAATCAAATGTACATAGTTTTTTTTTTTTTTTTTGCTGAAAATAAAACCATACACATTGGTAGAAGCAGATGTGCATGGTGGCCAAAGATTTTGTGCACAAAGCTGATGTTTGATCACTGTGTTAAAGAGTTTTTCTTTCCTTCTCTTTCTTGAGCGGCAGGGTGAAAACACGGGTGGAGGCAAAATGGAGATTAAAGATAGACCATTTTTTTCCAAATAAATGCAAGAAATAGGAAATACATGAGAAAGGCAGTCAAAAGTGTGTATAGATCTGGTTTACACACTTGTGTTTGCAATACACCCCGTGCAGTCAAAAGTAGGAATATGGCAGGAAATGAGAAAAGTGCATAAAATATAGTGAGAATTGCACATACACAGGGATGAACTAGAATTTGCAAGTGCCCCACACAAAATTGGTTTCTCAAGTATTTGTATCCATTATCTAGGGTTCTAAGTTAAGAGGATCTAATAAGTGCAATCTTTCAGATATTGACAACTCATGTAAGTTGAATCATTTCAATTCATCCAGTTCTCAGGTCCTGGTGTTTTTCACTTCCAAGGATAATCACAAACACGGTTGCTCATAGAAATGTAGTTAAAAAATATATATTTCACTATAACTTCAATAAATGTGATTACATGCCAATAATATGCCATGTGTGTCTCAATGGAGACTGTTCAATGAATGAAATATACACCATGCTTGCTGCTTTTTTCAAGGCTCATAGCTCATTCAAGTGGACTACATGGTAGGGTTAAAGAGATAGCTTTAAGACCTGAAGACACCAGGCTTCCTATATATGGAGATTTAGACTGTTAAAGAGATGCGGGGGATCAAATATCTGTATTTTGTGTAGCACTCTTTTCAACTTGCGTATATTAGCTGGTATATGGTTGGCCTCCTTTTCTAGGACACTAGATTATATGTATTTTTTTGGTGTTTCCAGTGGCAATTGTTGGTTAAATCTCATGTGCCAGGAAGCGTACTCCCTGTACTTGAAAGAATTATGAATGCACAAACAACCGAAAGTGAAAAGACAGAAACCCAAGTGTTCTCCGTGTACATCTCCATTGCATCTGTGAAAGAGAGCTGAGCACGGCTTTCAGCCCAGTTACGAATTCGGTCTGCCTCTGCTGCATATAAGGCTCTCCCCTGGAAAATATGCTTAAATCAGGAGGAAAAGAGAAAAAGGAAAATTACTGAAAATTGGATGGTCTGTCCAGTGTTTATCATACATTTTGAGTCTGGCATGGACTTGACATGATAACACAATTTGCACATTTTTCATACTAAATAGTAAATGGATATAGTTGGGACAAGGATTTCTTGTGGTTGAGTGGAGTAATCACAAAACTAGTTAGGGACAACATGCACCTAATCAAGTCTGGATTCAGAGAGGAGGAAAAGAACCATGGTTTTGCTGAATGACATAACCTAAGGCTCAATTTAAACTCATTTAGTTAAACAGGCTTGAGCTTGCTTGGGTGAGCACAACTTGCTTTAACCATGGCTCCTTTAGACAATAATATATATTTTATAAAATTAACATCATATACAAAATCAAAAATCAATACTATAGTTTCTTTTTTCTTTATATAGATATTATGTGTGTGTGTGTGAGCGCGCACATATGTCTCAAATCAGGGTTCTGTGTTTGGGCTTCAATGGGGCTAATATCAAAATATTGGTGTTAAATAACAAGCTTGGAAAAATTGGGCCAGAGAACAGCTATTATTCATGAGCATGAGCCCCCAGTTAAGCACAGATCATTTACCCACCTGATAAGTAACAAGCTCTTAGTTATTTGGCTAATCTCTTTAGTCATTCAAATGAAGTCTACATGTAATAATATCAGATGCTGCCCAACCTACATTTGATGTTTCAATGATTTCATGTACTGGAAGCATTATGGTTACCTCAACAAGGGATTTTTTTTTCTTTTCTGAAAGATTTATGTCGAAGTGTGCACTGAACAGATTTAATTTATCTCCTTGCAAGAGGTATAGCATTTACAGAGAGAAGCTTACCAAAATCAAGCAATTACAGGGAGGAATAGAATGAGATTACCTGGTCATCAAACCATCGACCTTGGCGCAACCATGCAGTGACTAAAGCAAGCAAGATCCTAGGTGGGGTTAAGTAATTGATGGCTTTTCCAGTTCCTTTTACAACCCTCATCCGAGGAACTAAACTTCTGGCCACTGTTTCAGGAAGTTCGCAAATGATGTTAAACATCTGCTTATTTTTAAGAGTTGAACCACTGCAAGTTTATCACCAATATGGTATCCACTGTCAGTCCCCAATTTTAAGTGGTAGAAAATATATTCTGTTGTAAAGGAAACTTTTTTTATCATTCCATTGATAAGAAAGCACCTAAAAGACATAAATTACAGTGATTGTAGCTTGATATCTAGAAGGTTGGTATAAATCCCCAAACATTTGATGTTCCAAAATCTAACATACTAAAGGTATGTTATGGACGCATTCGTGGAGAAGAAGTACCGCCGCCAGCAGCAGCAGTAACGTGGGACCCTCATCAGATTATCTAGCTAGCCACAGTTCATCTTACCTTATCCTTATCTTATCTGCTTTCTTACTCTTATCTTATCTATTCCAATA